TGATAGTTGTTATTGGTCATAAACTCCTTCATCTCTTGAGGACCATGTGAGAACATAAATCTTTATCCTCAAATCTTGTCATGCTTATTCAGTAAGTAATTGAAGTCTCCCCCTACTATACACGGCTCCTCAATATTCATATTATTCTCAATCAATCTCCAAAATTTCCTATATGATCCACGTTTGTACTATATGATATGACCATTTATGAACAAATCACAGCCATTAGCCAAATTAATGGTCCATATGAGTTCAATTATTGGTGATCGTACTGTACGAACCACCCTTCGTACTGTACGAAACATGTGTTAAAATATATTATGATGAATTTAGTTTAGTGGTATGATTATACTTTTACTTCATATGTACGAACAACCTTTTATATTATGCAATCCACGTATCAGAATTTGTTAGGATGAATTCAATTTTGCTGGTATGATCATTATTACACTTCGTATTATACGAATAACTGTTCATATTGTATGATGCATTTAGTCAAAATTCGTTCAGATGACTCATCAGGACGAACAAAATTCCTTAAGGTCATCCAATACGATGTATGATTTGACCAACATTTTCTAACAAATCATCCAGATGATTTAACTCTCCTGATCGTATTGTATGATTTCTAATCGTACTATACAATATGCACAAACTCTACAAATTGGAAGGTTTCTAAGCTTTTATTCCACTCAAATATTTCTTTCTTGTATTCATACTCTAGGATTCTCCAATGATCGGTGAAAGTAAACATGGTCAAATGACCCAAGGGAGCTCTTCATCCTCTCGTCACTTCAACGAACGATTTCTATACGCAAGAGATGAAGATGCATACTACAAATTCAAGGAGGCTCAAATCACCTCCTCCAGAATACTCAATAACCATGCTATTAACTTTGAGGTGAAGAATCTCTTTGTTTCTACAAGTCTCCAATTCCTAGCTTGTCACTCTAGCTTTTCCTTTTAATTCCGAACTACTCTACAAATTCCTAGCAAATCTTATGGTCAATGTGAAAACCTTCACCTTGACCTCCTATATATGTAGAAAACACATAGAAATCAATAAGCAAGATCTAGGGGAGTATATCGATATTTCTATTGAAAGATCCCATCCATAATCTATGGCCTCTAGAACTGATTTTAACTAGAGTACTATAAACCTAACCATTCAAAATATGGCTTTAAATAAACATCAACCCTTAGTCCACTCTCTCAATCAAAATGCCGAGTCATCCAGCATGTTTTTCTAACTTTAATTATACCTAAAGTTAGTGATCCTGTCAACATCACTATACTTTTTTCCCTGTCACCTATTTTATAATGTTCAATACTTAATTTGATAAAGTTATGATGATTATTAATTATATCCAAAATATGACTCAAATTCGATATCCCAATGCCAGAAGAAAGCAAAATGTCATACAAGAATACATCATAGGCTATGTCTTAGATAAGAAATATCAAATCAACTATCTTGCTCCTCCTAATAATCTTCCCATTTTTTATATGGATGCTTCCTTCTGTATTCTTTTCCACCAGGGGCAAGAGCATGATGAGCCAGATTTTTATGAAGAAGGTGAAGCTGCTCCTATAGGTGGACATGCATCGCCATGAATATCACCATCTACATCTGCCTATCTTGCCTACCCTCACGACGACATAATTCAGAGGCTTGAGCGATTAGAAAATAGGTTGGACTATTACATTCAACAACAACAATAATAGTACGAGGAAGACATGGGATGGTTTGGAGAAGAGTTTTCTTAAATTGAAGTTCAATTCACCTCTATACATAAATACTTTCAACAACCACCACCACCACAACCTGATCAGGATCCATTTTATTTTTGGTGTTGTTTGTTATATTTTATTACTTACCTGCCTTGTAAACTTCACTTTTTTTGTTCCTCCTCTTTTTGGTGATGTCAAAAGAGGGAGAAAAAATATTTGTTTGCTTGTATGTTTTATTTTAATAGAATTCTGTTTGTATTTTTTATTTTTTGCTACTTTATTTCTCTATACTAAATAATCAAAAATAAAAATCAATCAAATTTTTTTTAAAAAATGCAACCACTAATTTTGAAATCTATCACCTAGTGATGGGGAGATTAGGAAAAGAAAATTTTATTTTACCTCTTAACCAACATTATTCATCATCATCAAAAAAGAGGAAATTGTTGTAATCCAAGACCCCTAGTCTATGATTTTGATGATGACGAACATTATTGATTGAATTATTTTTTTTTCTTAGTGAATATTATGGATATTCTTTTTGTCTGTGAGCAATAATATTATATGTAAAATATACAATGATCAAGGCTACTAGAAGCTCAAGACTGGGTAAAATATGATGTCAAGTAAAATAGTATGTACTTTTATTTTTCTTTATTTTATATTTATTAAGTTTGGCCATATAAGAGTGCATGCAATTATGTGACCGTGCATACTTACTCAAGGGGAGTGAGAAAATTTTAAAGTTAAATTTTTTGTATTAATCATAATGTATGACTAACAATCGTACTGTACAATCAGTTATAGAGAGAATGAGCTTAATGATTAATTGAATAATTAGTTTCTATGAACTAATCGTATTATACGATTCATATCGTACTATGCAATTCGTTACGATCTAAAACTCATAATCGCCAAATAAATTAGGTAAGATATTCGAAATTTAAAAATTGAACTTATAGGACTATATGATGTGATTCATACTATAAAAAATTTGAAATTTTACTGAAATTAACCCCCGTAATTAGACAATCAAATCATGATTTAATTAATGATAGTTGATCGTACTATACGATCATTATCATACCATACAATTGGTAGAGATGAATTTTAATTGCCCAAAGACCGTACCAAATAAAATCATGATTTTTGAACTAATCATACTATATGATATTCATATCATACTGGAAGACCGACTTGAAATCAATTAATCGTATTTTATGATGATAACAATATTAGAGGATAGACAAAGATGATTTCCAATCATCCTAGGAATCATCCTATACGAATAGAGAGAAAGCAAACAGATCGTACAAGATGATCTTTGGATCGTACTGTACGATGTGTTACAAAAATTGAACAGTTCGCTTGAACGACTATTTGTATTGTACTGGATGGATCTAGTTTTTGAACTAATCGTATTGTACAAATTCATATCGTATTGTACGAACAATGGAGACCAACTTAAATTTTTAGGGTTTCTTAAAGCCTAATACTTAAGCAATGTTTTAGAATCTCTTAGTAATAAGAGAGGATTATGTGACTGCTAAAGAAACTATAAGAGAGAAGCTTTAGTGAGATATCCAAGGTTTGAGAGGAAGGAGAAGGTGAGGTTGAGCATCAGGAAGAAGAAGTGTGAGGGGATCACACGGTTGCTTCGGGCAAGCTACACCCTTGCTCCTCCTATGGCCTTGGTGAGTCCTTGAAGGCTCTCTTGAGAGAGAGGTTTCTAAGTCAAGTCCTCGAGGTACTCAGCTTTCTCTAGGAGAGAGAAAAAAATTGGAGGTACGTTGCCTTGTCTAGGAGAGAGAATAAGCTTTGGGTTCTCTACCTTCTTTACAAGGGAGAAAAATGATTCAAGGACTGCTGCCGTCACCGAGGAAGGTGGTATAGCTTCCGGCACTCCGCCATATCAGATTTGGTGAAAGTGAGTCTGTAAGGCTTCTCAACCTTACTGTATGAGCAAAAAAAGAGTCACTTTGTGTTGGTGCAATGCCCAGAGTGGAGGACTCCGTAGAGTGGACGTAGGTCAAGGTTGACCGAACCAAAATAAAATTTTGGCAAGTTCTTTATGCATTTTTCATTTCTAAAATTATTTTCCTTATAATTGACAGTTGAAAAATATGTGGTTGATGTTAGATTGAGTTGATTCAATTATTATCACCGTTGTTATAAGTATTGTTAATTTTATTAGCTTCCACATCAAGCGATTAAATTGTTTATTTCAAAGTACTGAAAGATTACAAAAAGATTTTTATTGTGATAAACAAATTTTTTTAAATAACCAATTCATCCCCTCTCTCTTGGTGTGCCTCAAGTTAGTTCTATGAGGTCTCACAACCTCATTGAACTTTCATGAAGATGAACTGAACGAGAATGACATACTAATCTTGATGAAACTTTAATTAGTTAAAAGAGCATATGAATGCCATGAACAGTGACTCATCTAGAATGTCGAAGGTGAAAAGTGAACAGTGAACCCACTTCAATTCTGAAAATGAAAAGTGAATTCAAAGATGAAAAGTAAATCAATTATGTAATTTTTGATATGCTGCGAATTCAAAATTTTCAACTCTAAACCGGGACCGAGTCAGTGGGCTCGCAAAAGAGAAAATTATAATATATCTATATATATATATATTAGTATAAAATACTATTAAATACAAATAAATGATAATCCTCTTCATTTGATCCACCGTCTGCATTACACTCTTCGAGTTGCATCTATCGCATCCTACTCGTTAATTGTCGCATCAGTCGTCTGTCAACTGTCTCGTTAGTCTTTGCTCTTCCCGTCTTCCACCATGGCATCGTGCCATGTTTTCGCTCTTTAGACTTTTGCCATGCCACGTCTTGTGCCAAACGCAACGTGATTGACCTTTCCGGCTTTTACCACTCATTTAATAGTGTCAAAGCTACTTTTCTGTTCACTGACAAATCCAAGTGCCAGTTCCCTAATCTCTATTATGTAATGATTACATTACTAATATGCTCCATCTTTGATAAAAATCACATTAATTTCAAATCATTCACAAAAATATTTATATTTAAAATTGGTGAAAGCTGGGTTCCCAGGTCGGATCGGGTCGGGTTAACCCGACAACCCGCATAGGTCAGATCCGGAGTGAGAAATCTGACCCATTTACAAAATCGGGTTGAGTCCAAATTAACCTGTTCGGATTTGGGTCAGACCGGGCTGGACGAACCAGACCCGTCGACGGTTTTGAAACCCCTAATACGAAAGTGTTTGGGATGAAGGGACAGGATCTTTCGAACACCATAACAAAACCTTCGTTCTCTCCTTTTGCTGGCAGGGATCTCCATATCCTGCAAAACCCTAGCTCCTTTCCCTTTCTTTCATAATGGGCAGGCGAAAGGGAGGGAACAAATCTCCTGCTTCAATCAGCGAAAAAAGCGGTTATAGCAATGGCGGTATCGGTGCTGACGCCACCCTTGGCGGCGTTGACAATGAAGAAGTGGATGTCGCGGAGGAGAGGACTGAAAGCTCCAATCTTGTGGACTCGCCGGAGGTCGAAGCCCTTGTCGGTAGCGATAAGACCAGCGCCGATTACTACTTTGACTCCTACTCACATTTCGGTATTTCTTCCACTCTTATCTGCAGTTAGATAGGTGTTTTGATTCCAGGTGGCTAATTGTGCAATGGCTTTGTTAAAAAGTGAAGGTTTTAGGTTGTTTTGTTGCAAGTAGGTTTTACGTTTTGTTGCTAGTAGGTTTGATGTAATATGGGGCTACGTAAATTTCTTCCTTTAACTTAGTTTGGTAAGTCATCTGGCTGTCATTTTATAGTCTGATTTCTTGCCTTTGAGCTGTTTGGCAACTAGTAAAAAAAGAAAAGAAGATAATTAGATGTTTAAATGAGTGGTTATAATCATTAAGTACGTTGTTAATCGTTGAGAATTGCAATTTCTTAAGAGGAATTAACCCTTAATGATGTTTGGTTGTAAAGAAGATTGCATTATTTGCATGTCAATCCAAGCAATCATTAAAATATTAAATAGTAATTGTGCAACTAAATTGTGGTGATGATAAACTAAACGATGAGCGTTATCTTCTTTATTATTTATTAACTCTCTTCATCTATTTGAGGCTGGCTGCATGAAATGTCTTCTTCCAATTATTCCTTAACCAAATTTTGCTGACTCAATTTTGTTTTACATTATTTTTAGTCTTGTTACCTTAGATTTTTAGCACATTAATTCTATCTACATGCATTATTGGTGAATATTCTTACCTTCACCCAAATGTTCATGCTCAAACCACTTAAGCGGTTAAGCCTATCTTCAATAGGTGTTAATCCCAATATCTCTCTAATATAATCATTTGTCACTTTATCATTCTCAGTTTTACTGCATCCATCTTTTATTTTCATTGGGCCACTCTTAATTTTTGCTACAACTGAACTTTATTTTCCCCAATGCTTAGATCCTTGTAGCATAATTAGTTTAGTTGAGTTTTGTAAAGCTTACCTTTAGTATCCATGATATTCTTTCATCACATATGTTGGATATAGGTGTTAATCCCAATATCTCTCTAATATAATCATTTGTCACTTTATCATTCTCAGTTTTACTGCATCCATCTTTTATTTTCATTGGGCCACTCTTAATTTTTGCTACAACTGAACTTTATTTTCCCCAATGCTTAGATCCTTGTAGCATAATTAGTTTAGTTGAGTTTTGTAAAGCTTACCTTTAGTATCCATGATATTCTTTCATCACATATGTTGGATCTAAATTTGTTTGTGGACGACTCCCTACCTTACTAATGGGTCAAAATGAAGAGTGAGAGAGTGTCTCGAGAACATGTGAGAGAATAGAGATAGAAAGAGAAGAGAGGAAATCTGTAGAATACTCAAGAAACTATGATTCTTAAAATTGGCAGAGTATCTAGTATATTAGTCCAAAAAGTCCACAAACTATTCATCCTCACCCTTTATTTATAAGATTTTGATGGCTACATGAAAGGCTATATGATAGGAAATACTTGATTTCACGTATTTCCTAATCACTTTGGCAACAAATCACAAATCCAATTGCTGTCCACAGCAGGAAAACAACCCAAATCTGAAAAAAAAAACAGAGAAAAACTGTAGAAAACGTGGAGAAAGGACTTGTATTTTACTAATAGATGCAAGGAAAATAGCAAAGATACAAGGATCCTCTATTCGAGAGGAGGATCGCACTCTCCCAATCTCTAGAATTCGATCTAGAGCCCTAGCAACTAAAGAAGATAAAAAAACTTTCACCAAAACATGACATAACCCTAATTCTCCCTTTACTCCCTAGTTAATGCATAAAATTCAAATCTAATACAAAAGGACCTAATTGCCCTTGCTTCTCCTCCTTTTGGCTCCAAAATCCACTTTGAAATTCAAGTGGACCCCATCGGTTCCTTCCCCTAGCTTCCGCCGGCTCCCTCCGCCTGTATACGCATCGAACCGACCCAAGGTGCTGGGCCGGCTGGACCGGTCCATGGAGGACCGGTCTAACACATAGTTTCCCCTCTCCCATGTGCCTGGACCCCCCCACGTATCCCGATCTTCCCTTGCTCTGCCCTGTCCCAATCCCTCTTCAAAATCTCCTCTCCGATCTTCAAAAACTGCTTCCCGGCGCCCCTGGAATCCCCCCCGATGCTCCCAACCAGCCCCTCTGGGTTCCCCACCTCCATAGCTTTGCCTTTCTACATACCTTCCTCCTCTCTCTTCTCTCTGGAAAGGCTCCAGATGAGGCCTTCCCCTGCTCCCTTCCATGATTTCCACTTCCTCTTCCTCCCGATGGATTTCAGAGTTGTCGTTCTTCGCTACGGGCCCTTTTGCATCAGACGCCGCCGATTGGGTTTGAAACTCCAACATTGTTTTCATCATATCTCGTAGATCGGCCACTTGTCATTCCATGGAGGACATTCTTTCTTCTACGGTCTCCTTGATTTGATTTCTCTCTCCTTCAATCTTCTCCTCCAAAGCATCCACCTTCTTAGCCGCCATCTTCTACGGCTTGCAAATTAGGAGAAAATCTCAAGATCTGAAAAAAAATTTCAGCGATTTTCTCCTTCACCGGCACAATTTCAGCCGCTGAAATTGGTCAAAAACAGCCCACGATTCGTCCCAAGACTTGCTCTGATACCAATTTGATAGGAAATACTTGATTTCACGTATTTCCTAATCACTTTGGTAACAAATCACAAATCCAACTGCTGTCCACAGCAGGAAAACAGCCCAAATCTGAAGAAAAACAGAGAAAAACTGTAGAAAACGTGGAGAAAGGACTTGTATTTTACTAATAGATGCAAGGAAAATAACAAAGATATAAGGATCCTCTATTCGAGAGGAGGATCGCACTCTCCCAATCTCTAGAATTCGATCTAGAGCCCTAGCAACCAAAGAAGATAAAAAAACTTTCACCAAAACATGACATAACCCTAATTCTCCCTTTACTCCCTACTTAATGCATAAAATTCAAATCTAATACAAAAGGACCTAATTGCCCTTGCTACTCCTCCTTTTGGCTCCAAAATCTACTTTGAAATTCAAGTGGACCCCATCGGTTCCTTCCACCTGGCTTCCGCCGGCTCGCTCCGCTTGTATACGCACCGAACCGGCCCAAGGTGCTGGGCCGGTTGGACCGGTCCATGGAGGACCGGTCTAACACTATATAGTGAAAAAGAAAAAAAAAATATAATGGTACATGAAATACCTGTACAACGCTATGCACCACTCTAGACATGTGTTCCCCCCTAATTGGCCGAAGGAGGATGAGGTTGGCAGAGCTCTACAAGTTGCTTCAAGGCAAGTTTAGTAGTGTTGAGTGGACAAGGGCAAGTGTGCTTGGTTGAGTCTGTGGGCGAGTATTGAGATGAGAGAGAACGAGTGGCTGGCAAGTTGGTTGATGCGATTAGTTACCTGTATGGAAGCACTAGGATTGCCTAAGAAGAGAGGGGTGAGTGAAATGTTCTCGCGGGAAGGAAACACTTAAGGTTGGGCGGTCGTAACGAATCGAATTGATGGTCCCATGAGTGGCGACTTCATGTAGTTAAATTGGGTGAGAATGGACGCCCTGGGAGAGAGCGATTGATTGAGATGTGGTCGAAGCATGTGGCGAGTGCCGAGGTGCTAGCTATGGGAGAAATCCTCGATCCACGCATGCATGGAGAGCTTCTTGGAAGGCTTGGGCAAGTGATGCTTGTTGGTCATTTCAGGCGAGTCCTCCTATGAGTTCCTCAAGTGGGGCCCTTTTGAAGGTGAGTTCCTCTTCCATGACTCGCCAACTACCTGGTAAATACATGTAAAGGCATATGCAGTCTACAACTTACTTCTACCGGCACTTCTCTATTTAACCATGTAGCTTTACCTCTAATGGTCTTGTTTTCATTGTTATCTTCATTTAATTGTATAATTGATCTTGTATCTCAAAACTATTCACATAGATTTCACTTGATTTTACAAGTGCTATTTTATAATTTTCAATTTCATATATTTTGTTCTCCACACCCACCAAATTAATTCTTGACTGCTCAATAATGAAGTTCCTTTAGTTGTTCTGTATGTTTTTCAATTAACAACCTTAGTATAAAATGACTCCATAGTAATTCTTTCTTGCATAAAATCAAATTGTTTCTCCAATGCTAACTTGATTTTTCTTAGGCTGTTTACTAGTACTAACCCAAAACAATATTGTGTTTAAGTTTGTTTCCACTATAATTGTCACAATCTTGAAATCTCCTTTCTCTCGGATGCGCCATTTAGTCTCATGATTTCATTAAAATGATTCGCTAACTAAAATTCTTCAATGCCTTTAATAAGTCTTCAAAGCTCATTGAATATCCGATCTGACCTATAGCTTTACATTTACATGTTCAAATCATGATTTTAATGATTGATTGATTATTTTTAAATTGATATTAGCTAATTAATTTATGTTTAGTAAATATTCATGGATGATCAAATTATCATTAAGAATTAAACAAGACTTATGTTATTAATTGGGTAATTCTAGGAATAAAAACTAATAAAATATTCAAATGATTTAAACTAGTTAACTATGGCTAACCAAATAACTGAGTAATCTAATTAGTTATTTGGATATTAAATAACAACATAAGAACTACCAAGTAATTTAATTTAAAGTATTGCCACTAATTGCATGTTATTTACTTTTTAACTATTACATTAGTAGATAATTACTGTGACTGTTTAAGTAACTTTAAATTGATTTTCTGTAAATTGATATATGTTTTGCACACTTTAGCATTCATGTTCACACAAATGCGCTCGTCCCCCACTTGACTTACCCATCCGTAATCATGGCTTTCCCCCTAAAGCAATTAATTGCAATTGGTAGGGAAGGGTAATTATACGGTTAGTTTGATCCTGTACATGCTCTTTAGCTTTTTGTCCATTTAGAGAGTCAGGCTTAGTTAAAATAATAGATCTTTAGTGTTTCATCATCATCACATTTGTCTTATCCCAACTATTGGATTCATTTTCTTGATGAATGAAGGGTTATTATTCTTCATTAATAGTGAGGGACATTCGGCCGCGGCCTGACGTCGTTAGTTGCCATATGCTGCTTGCCATTGCTTTACATTAAAGTTGCAATAAATCGCCACCAATCAATCGTTGTTGCTGCTCCCCAGCCCTCACTAGCCACCATCATCATTGTGCTTTTTACTGCATTAATTTTACTTCAAAGTAATTACAAAAAGTAATTGCATGTATTTATTTTACACACTTCTAAGCAATCCTAAAGATTTCAAATACATTGCATTACTTTTACACTTTATTCTAATTTACGCTGCATTTCTTTTTCAACAAAACAAATAGCTGCTTAGTAATTTTGCTTGATACCATCTCTTTCCTAAGTTGCAGGACTCGTACAATCTTTTTAATCTGTTGTCTTTGTTTATTAGTTAGGATTTGTATTTTACCGTAAGATATTTTGTGGTTGTTCAGATTTTTATCAAAGTTCACTACGGATTACAGTCTTGTTTGCACGACTTTTTTGGGATAATGCTTAAACTCTCCAGATGTTTTGCTTTTTTTATTGGAGATATCATTATATTTGAGTATTTTGCTTGCAGTTTGTCAATTTTTATTTGATGAATACAGTTTAAAATTTTTATGTTTATTTTGATTCTTTATGAGAGCTTACTATTTTGCATCATCTTTCTCTTTGCAGGCATTCATGAAGTAAGTCATTGATCACATTCAAAAGAAATTGCGTTATTGATATTTGGTGAATTTGGTGCTCTCAGTTGGTGGCGTTGTTATACAAATTTACAAGAAGAACACTTGTTTGTTTTTTCTTCATTTCAGTTGGTGATTTTAGAGCAAGCAAATTGAAGTTCCTTATGTTTCTTTTGGTCAACAGCTGACCAAATCTTGAACAATATCTTGAATTGCTAACCAAACCTTGAACAATATCTTGAATTATGTGTTCATTTAAAATTTTGCGTCATTTATTAAAATTAATATTCCTTTTTCTTAAGTCTGCACTTTTAGTTTTAAGTACCTACATTATACTTAACTTTCATTGCTTCTTATTGATGTAAAGTCTTCACATAAAAATTAGCAACTCTTTTTTGGGTTCTTATCGTAAAGATATGAAAACTTTCTGTTTACTTGTTTACCCAATATTGATATTTACTCTTAAAATCATTGAAGGATAAACTACTTGTGCACTAGCTGCCTAATGGTTTCTTTCAATTTGCCTAACTTGGACTTGGCTTTCCAATTGATTTTAATTCTTGTAATGAAGTATTTGATGAACAAATATACGGTAGTTTGGGGAGTTGATTTTTTTGAGTTTTTTGTTATCAAGGATCATTTAAAATTGTGCAATTAAAGCCTCATTTTAATTCATGCTAGATGAGGCGCACACCTCTGTTGGGGTGAGATACATCTCAGGGCACGTCGCAACACAATTTTAATATAATTTTGAAGAGGTGTAAGATTAAAAAAAGTAGAATTTAAGTAATTTTAAAAATTAAATTTATAAACTTTTTTATATATAAATAAACATAGTTACTACATAAATCAAACAAAACTATAGAAGAACTCTCAAACTCTTAGCAGCATGCCACATAACCCTGCGTCTGTATCTAGTATTGTTATGTCACCATCGTTGCTTCATCAGCGTCGCATCTCCTCTAACGCCTCTCCTCTTGATGGAAATCCATTTCCTTACTTTTAGTATGAGAAATTAGAGAATATTATTAACTACAGTGGTGATTTTAATGAAGATCCTTCAAGTGATGAGAGTACTAGAATTTTAAATTTATAAATTATGCCATTAGACTACTTGTTTATGTTGAACAGGAAGTGTTAAAGACTATTTATTTAGTATTGGTTGTAGCATTGTATGACTTTTAATGGTCTTTGATTTTTTATGTTCTTACTTTAATATCTTACTTTGATGTTAGTATATTACTTGTTATTTCATATTTTTGATTAATTTAATGGTTTAATTCAGAGGATTATGCCCAAAATGCCTTGAGGCTTATGTCTCGCTTCACGGAAAGAAAATTCCTCAATATCTAATTGCACAATTTCAAACGTTGTCAAGAATACATGCTTCCTTTTTTGTATATAGTTAAGCAGTTCATGTAGGCAGTGCAGTAGTTGGTATAAGAATAAGACTAATGATTAAATAGAAAAATTGCCTGCATTTGTCGGACTTGACTTTTGCATAGCTTAGCCAGTAAACTGGTTTATTTTTTCTTTCGTGATGGCAATTTGAAAGCAACCTATCTCCACGCACCTAGTGTCCTAAATGTATAATCTTCTACATTTGTTATGCAGGAAATGTTGAAAGATGTTGTTCGAACAAAAACTTACCAAAATGTTATATATCAAAATGCTTTCATCTTCAAAAACAAAGTGGTACTTGATGTTGGTGCGGGGACAGGGATTTTATCCCTTTTCTGTGCGAAAGCAGGAGCAAAGCATGTGTATGCGGTAAAGTGCTTAATTTCTTATTTATTTATAATCATACATTTTCGTTAATGCTTTGATAAAATGAGACAGAACTCACACTACTTTGTTCTAGGGTATAAATTTCTAAATAATGAATGGCTATAAAGGCTCAAATAGCAGATTAAATGTAACACTGGAAAGAAATTCTAGAAAGGGTACTTTTAACACATTGCACTGTAATATTTTACACATAAGCATATATTTAAAATATTGTTTACATTCTCTATAACATTTAGTTTTATTTTTAAAACTAGATGATCTGGGGAAGATGTAACGACCGATGGATTTAACACTTTACTGCAGAGTGCTTTTAGATGGCATAAAAATATAGAATAATTAGAAGTCGTTTTAACACCACTTTATTTTTAATTATTGGAGCTTCTTGGTGTGGTTTCCACGTTCATTTACGTGAATGGCTGAATTTGTTTTTTGTTCTAGGTTTTCATTATTCTCGCAGAGCAGACTCTCACTTTATTCTAGCATAATTAGGAAGGAAGCTGCATAGACCTACAGCAATTATGTTCTTAAACAGAAGCAAAGAGTGAATGAGTGTGGTCCTTACCCATGCTTTGCTGCTGTTCTTAATGATAGTGGGTTACAATGATAAATTAGGAGTTTGCTTTCAAAAAATTAGTCAATCATGAGGTTTAATACCAGTACCGCTCAGGTACTTTTAGAGGAGAGCAAGAATATTCACTTTATCAATTAATAATCAACCTTGTAAGAGTGGTGAATGCATGTTCGTTCATTGCTTTGTTGATCTCCTTTCCCTACTTGCATTAATTCCATAAGTAGGCTGGGTTTGTTAATATTGAATTTGCTTCAGGCAGGGTGACAATTCTTTGGTTCTCTTTAAGTAAGAGACACTTTTTGTTACTGCGCTTATTCTGATATGCAAGATTCATCTCTAAGTGGCAACGCTAACATTCATGCATTTGCAAACCTGGTAAACTTTTCTATTAGTTGTAAGCACGTTTTATGACCATTTAAATTAAATGGACATTGTTGAATGATGGTTGCATGTTTGGGTGGAATGTCTCCCAATTATTTCGATTGTTTAGATGCAGTAATTTTTTAGAAAATCTGACTAAGTTTACTTAGTTAATATCAATTCTAAATCATCACATGTGTTAATTAGTCATAAGAGGAATCTATTTTATTTATGATTATTATATTTTTCCTTTATAGTAAGTAGAAGAGAAATAGAGGAGAAGAATTGGGGAATGCTCCATCATGTTTATTTCTGAAGTGCGACTCTATTTATAGAGTTTTATAATGGGTGAAATTAGAAAGAAATAAATCATACCCAAGCAATAAAGGAAAAGAAATATTACAGGAACAATTACATAAAAAACAATTAATTATAATGATAGAATCCCTAAAAAAGAAATAGTTGTGCTGTCTGCCAAATCTGGACTACCTGTAGCCTCTATGTCACCAATCCATGTGCTTTCTGGCTGCCAGGTCATCAATTTGAGAGCCACCAAATCATCAAGGGACGCATCCTTTGCAACAACAGCTGTCTTACCTTGGTCGTTTGCCAACCTCAATTCCCTATGATTTTCACTTCTAGGTGGTTTACCAACTATCCTGCTATCTATTACCGCCAATAGGTAAGTTATTGTAAAAAATTTTTATTTCCTATTCTAGTAAATAAATGACCATTATTTAACATGTGCCTCAAGCCAATTAATATACATCCAACAAACCAAACTTGTCAATCAAATTTTCAAATAGGGATCTAGTCAATCCTATGGCCACGATGCCAGTAGTTTGATTGGCAAAGAAATATATAAAACATAGATCTCCATTTTGAAAATTTCCTTTAATGAAGTGTCGATCTATCTACACATGTTTTATCCATAATGATGGATATGATTATGTACTTAAAGCACTTTATTGTAATAATATAGTATCATGGAAGTCTTGACAATCATTTGAAGTTTTTTGAGGAGTAGCTTAAGCCATATTTATTCATTGATCACGCTGGCCAATGATCTGAGTTCTGCTTCTGCACTACTTTCGGCCACAATAATTTATTTTATGCTACTCGAGGTTATTAGATTGTCCCACACGTATATTCAATATCTTGAAGTAGATCTTTTGTGTATTATAGACCCACCACAATACCAAATTGATGCAAAAAAGAAAAAAACATAAAGCCTGCTAGGTTTGCAAATAATCGCTTCCTATTTTTAAAACAAAAGACACCTTACAACTTCAAATAAAAAGACACAACAATACCATACGACTAATCAAAGCTTTGAGAAGAAAGATACAATGGAATGATAACTTGTGGAGAGAAGAAATAGATTAGAAGACTTGGAAAAAGCAACAAGAAGTGAAGAAGTAGCTCTCAAGCTAGAGAAGAAACACTTAGGTTTTACTTAGTTTTCACTTTGCCAAAACTTCTTAAAACAACCCAAAACTCCCCTATAAATAAGATAGAAAAGGGAGGCCAACAACCATGTTTAGCTGTCCACCATAGCCAACCAAAAGGAGAGGAAAAGAAGCAATAAAGGCATGGTTGGACCATCACCCGAACAACCATAGCTAGGGAACCGGGACAGCCAAGAGCAGGAACCGAACAGCCAGCAAAGGGAACCGGGAAAGCAGGGAGTGGGAACCAAACAACCAGCAAGGGGAACCGGGAAAGCAGGGAGCTGAAACCGAACAACCCAGCAAGGGAAACCGGGAAAGCAGGGAGCAAGAACCGAACAACCAAATGGCTAAGTAGCAGCTCAACTGCCCACTAACAAACCCAAGCAGCCCAAGCACAAAGACCCAAGAAGCTAGCACACCAAAGGAAAAAAAAACATGTCCAAGAGCACCAAAACCACACATGTTCATCGGTTGCCTTCCATCATCGGGTAACAAAAAAAAAAAAAACTTAAAATTTACAATAGCATAAAGAAAACATAAACATTTGAATGTATCAATTCCCCCCAAGTGGGAGAATCTCATCTCCAATGCTTCACTAATGCGATGATAGATGTAGGACGGCGAGATTGAAGTTCCACAGCTTCAATCCAAGTACAATCAGTCAACGAACGTCCACTCTACTTTACCAAGAACCGCTTATGCACTCCATGCCTGGTCTGAGTAGTCCTGATGTCCAGAACATCTTCAATGTGATCATCTTTTGCTTGAACTGGACTAGTAACTGGTAAGGTCTCTAAATTCACATAATCAGTAGGATTTCCATCATATAAAGTAAGGCCAACAACATTAAACACAGGTGAAGTCCCAACAGAAAGTGGAAGATCTAGAAGATAAGCATTTGATCCCAATTTTTGAAGAATTTTAAAAGGCCCAAATTTTCTCCGGCTTAACTTGCCAAAAGTCCCAACAGGAAAGCGCTGTCGACGAAATTAAGCTATAACTAGATCACCTTGAAAATAACACTCTCCGGTGTTTGTCAGCATCAGTTTTGTATTTAGCATTTGCCATTCGGAATTTTTCAAGGACTTGATGTTGGATCGATTTAATTTGATCAACAATTTCTGTAGCTTTAGCACTAGGCATGGGTAAACAAGTTCGGTTTAAAATATGAGGAATATGCTGACACTTTGCCTCCGATGCCGCCGTTTGGATTTGGTTTTCCAATAACTTCTTTACCATCAAATGAAAATCGGAAACTTTGTATTCCATGGATGAAACCTTGTCTTCTATGGATGAAATTCGATCATCCATTGTGGCTTTTATTTGGCTTATCTCTCCTTCAAAACGTTCTTCCAACGCATCTATCTTCTTGGTCGCCATCAAATTTTTTGGATTTTGATCCAAAAATTGGCAAGAATTTCCTCCACCATACAAGGACCCCCGACTGGAATTCCAAAAAAAAAACAGCCCACAAGGTTCCAGGAGCAGCTCTGATACCAATTTGATAGGAAATACTTATAGATCTCAAGTATTTGAATTAATAGAGACAAAATCAGCCAAGAACTCCCAAAATCTGAGGAAAAAATCACACATAATAGTAGTTCTATTGCTAGAAACAAGAGAACGGAAAGAAGAATTAAATCAAGATACAATTGATCCTCAATTTGAGAGGAGGATCGTTCTCTCCCAATCCCTAGACAATGAATCTAGTGCCAAAACACACAAGAGAAGTCTAAGAGAATACAATAATCAACATAACCCTGACCTTAGAATCTCATGCCTATTTAATGCATTAATTTATAATTCAAAAACTCCCTCCCATGCATTAGGAACCCCCCCCTAGATCAATTCAATTTGTGGGCCCCATTGTTTTGGGCGGCAACAATAGAGGAGCCAGTATTTTCTGCCTCATATAGAACCGGCCCAACAAAGTTCAGTTGGGTCAGTTCCACCTGAACCGGCCTAACAAAATTTTATGAGGGTTATACATAAAATTGAGGAGGGAAGAAAGATCATACCCTTGAGTAGTTGTAAATATGAAAACTTGAGCATGCTTGACTTCAATTTTTTTCCTTGGGGCTAGAAGAGGTTCTGGACAGGAGTATGACAATAACTCTGCACATGCTAGCTGTTCTGATAAACATGATTGTAGATATTTGCTAGTGTAAGATAGGGTGAAGCAAGGATTTTTGCTGCATTTTTATGTGATGTGTTATAATGATTTATGATTATTCAGCTTGCTTGTTCAACTATGTTTGTGCATATTATGGCTACACATGCATATATTTATAGGTGCCATATATGGTTATACATAAAATTGAGGGAAGAAAGATCACACCCTTGAGTAGTTGTAAATATGAAAACTTGAGCATGCTTGACTTCAATTTTTTTTCCTTAGGGCTAGAAGAGGTTGTGGACAGGAGTATGACAATAACTCTGCACATGCTAGCTGTTCTGATAAACATGATTGTAGATATTTGCTAGTGTCAGATAGGGTGAAGCAAGGATTTTTGCTGCATTTTTATGTGATGTGTTATAATGATTTATGATTATTCAGCTTGCTTGTTCAACTATGTTTGTGCATATTATGGCTACACATGCATATATTTATAGGTGCAATATATGTAATACCAGTAATGCTAGTAGCAAAAGCATGCTAATTAAATCAAATCAAAGGAAAATTTGTGTGTATGTTCGTGGGTGCCTCGATATATTTTTGTTTTTTAATGTACTTTTAACTAGGAAAGCCATCATGATTTGTGTGAGGCATATGCATTACATTATGTGAGAATGCACATCACCTCAAGTTTTATAAGGCTTGCGCAATTTAGGGTTAGGTTTTATAAAATCATAATTTAAGTCATTTATATTTAGTAAAACCCCTTATATTGAGTCATTCTCTCTCCCACACCTCATGCATGCCACTCTCCTCTCAGTTTGATGCACACTTGAGCCACTCTTGGCTCACGTATGCCCCTCTTTGTTTAATCTTATGCATGTTGTTGATCATCTCTGTCCTAACTATTGCTATCGCCTCTCTGCAAAGCTTTCTTCTGCCACAAGGAACTCATCTTTTCTTCCTCCACCACATCTCATCTTCTTAATAGATAACATAAAAAAATTTACTTTATTTAAGGTTTCTTTTATTTTTAAAAATGAAATTTTGATTTTAGGGTTTTCTAAAAAATAGTTGAGGTAAGAGAAAAGCATAGTAAGGCTTAGAAAAGACTCGATATGGAAACATAGTGTAGAAGTCGAAATTTGAGGGTGTGACAAGATGTAAGTCTATCAAAAGTGCAACTTCTACAATAAGGCTGCTAAAAGGAGTGTAACAAGAATGAAAGAGCACATCTTTAGCTCACATGAGAGCTATAACAATTTTCTATTAAATTATTGAGTCTTACATGTTTTTGGGTGAAATTGGAGTGCATATAATCAAGTTCATATTAAATGAGAAATCATTTGAATACCATAAGGATGAACCGCTTGGTTTATATCATGTATAACAATAGATTAGATGATAGACATTTAAAAAAAATCTGTAGAGGATGACAAAAGATTTGTTAGTTTATAATGATGTGCCGTTAGTTGATGAATGCTTTATGGATGATGATAATAGACTTACATTGACAGATTTGTGACAAGAGGCTCTCAATGCTGATTTTTTTGATGGAGATATAAGCAGGATCAATAGGTCTGACATAAGCCAACAAGAAATTAACAAAAAAGTGCTTACAAAAAAAATGTGTAATTAAAGTTGTAACCATCTTACCATCAAGCTTTTAGGATAACATACATTTTCTACTAAATTGATAAATATACAAATAACCTAAAATCCACCATATTTTGATGAAATATTCTTTCAACCATTCTTTTATTTACTACATTCTCGTTAGTTAGCATTAATTCAAGTTTGATTCATAAGCACATCATGGGCAAAATTCCCAAGCATATTATTCAAGTCTCATATTAAGGCTGTATAACATTACATCATACATGTACCATGGACTATGCTTGCTCCATTTAAATCAATTGGCTTCATAGTTTAAATAAACTTGCTTAGGTGGTGGTTTAAAGCGACTTGTGTAGTTTAGTGGCTTTTCTTGAACTAGATAGCCTTATAAGGCAAGTTCAAATAGTTTGATTTTATAGTAAAACCGGCCTTATCCTTCTCCTTATGTAGGCACCCCTTTATATTCTGAGAGGGGTAATCCTTATACCCTTCCCATCCACCGGAAAGTGTTATAAGATTTTGAGTCTCTTATTTGGCTCCGTGTCTATTAGAGTTTCTTTAGACAAAGCTATTCATGATTTTTTATTTGGGATTTCTAACATAGTTTGGTCGACTATCTTAGCGGCTAAGCAGATCTAGGGTCTGATAATCTGAGATGATGAAGCTATGAAATAATGGCCGGGTTAAATCCACCATGTTCAAAAATTTTTTTACTACCCTAAAACCTCTTTTTCCTTGAATATTTCTTTGGGGTCATATTCTTTATATATATATATACACTCTTAGGATTGCTCAGGCAGCTAGAATAAAAATAAATTTGTTCTAGATTATTTATGAGGGATTTTCATAAATTTGTATAAGTTAAGTTGGTCTGATTTTTAGATCTCTTTTCTAATTGGTCCTCCATACTTTTTTGTTTTCTCTCTTATTCTCCCTGACCTTTTTGAATTTTTATTCTCATCTCTTACTCTTTTGCTTTCCCCCTCCCACAAATGGATCGAAGGGAGTGAATGGAGTTTGGATGATGACAATTCATGATT